GGTGGTTGGAATGTCGAACTGAACCCTTTATTTCGCTCACTGGGGTAGACTGTTCTAATTCCACGTGCCATGTTTGACGGATGTCAGTTATCAGTTATCTCCTGTTAATTTTCCCTCTGAAAGGTCTCCACTGCCTTAGCCGGGTATTGAACTCACACTCTTTGGGTCCTGCCACTGGATCTAACCAACGCCTTTATCCACTGTGCCATGTGTCTTTGAGGGCACATGGTATAGTGGAATGTGTGGAATCCTGTTAATTTCCCTCTGAAAGTTCTCCACTGCCTTAGCAGATGGAAATTAACAGATAACTGATAACTGACAGCCATTAAACATGGCTCGTGGAACATTCGACATTCCAACCACCCGAAGAAGGCCGGAGCGTACAACTGCCGAAACGTTGTAATAAATATGGTGACAAAGATGAGGACAATTGTCTGAATAATGTAAATAATAAGCATGATTTATTTGGAAAAGATATTAGAATTAAGCAGTGTATGAAGTGTACCATCAGTGGTTTTACCTTTGCATCGAAGCAGTCGACCCTGCTTTACTCAGGTGAACTGGGATATGGAACTGTACTGGTCCACGGCCTCCATCCAACTCTCACACACGTCTCCAAGAGGTCGCATTGGCACTGCGACGGCCACACACCGATCAACAGCATCGATCTTCGGATCAAACTGTGTGAGACTAGTCGGAAAGGTTTCCAGACCCGACCGATGTAGGGGAAAGCCTCTCCTTAATCCAATCGGCCATCGGACAGTTGCCAGTCTGGACGTAGAAGCTGCGACTCATAGTAGACGGAGGAACTTCTGTGAGCAGTGACGGGGTAACTTCAACATCATCGGTGCAAAAGAAATCTGCAAGACATTGCACTATTTTGCCTTGAATGTCACCATGAACCACAACTGAACGGGAGGGGTGGCCCCAGCGTCAAAATGCTCGAAATAAATAAATGTTTATAATGATTAGAATTATCCAGAACTTATACTAGCAGTAAACCGCCTGCCGACGTATAGAAAATATAAGGTGAGTTCAATTCCTGGTTAAGGCAGTGAAGAACTTTCAGAGGGAAAATTAGCAGGAGATAACTGATAACTGACATCCATCAAACATGGCACGTGGAATTAGAACAGTCTACCCCAGCGATCGAAATAAAGGGTTCAGTTCGAAATTCCAACCACCTGAAGAAGGCCGGAGCGTACAACGGCCGAAACGTTGTGACAAATATGGCGACAAAGATGAGGACAATAGTCCGACTAATGTAAATACTGTACAGAAAATATAAATTCACAGAAATAGGAAGGAGCATAAGACAATGATGTGTCTTCACACCAGACTTAGACAATGTTTACAGTGGAGCAATCCCGAGAGAATTAGAAAATAATTATTGGCGGCCATGATGTCAGCAATGTTTAGCTATGCGGATAACACATCGTTGATAGCAGATAAAGAAAGCAAATGGCAGAAACTCTTGCAGAAGATAGTGAAAGAAAACGAGTAGAAATGGTAGGCATCAATTGTAAGAAGGCGGAATGCATTGTCAGCAAAGAAACAAAACAAAATAAAAGCTAAAACCAAAAAAACAACCTAAGATAATGAAAAATTGGAAATACAAAAATCCAACAAATAGATTCCCGCCTTCCATTGGGTTGAAATGATGAATAAACAAAAATAGAAAAAAAGAAAGCCCGTCGTCGGCACATTTACAGAGGAAATGATTTCTTTTATTTAACCATATATTTGGATTTTTTGAAACTGGTTTTTGTAATATTTTTTACTGAGGAGAGTAAACAGTTTCTACTGGTAGCATTGTAAGGAGGTTCCCCTTTAGCGATTTCAAGTAAAAAAAAAAACAAAAAAAAAAAAACAAAACAAAAAAAACTGTAACTGCACATATTCCTCTATTTATATTGTTCAGACTGTTGTCCTCATCTTAATTGTCATATTCACTACGTTTCGACCGTTGTACATTCCGGCCTTCTTCAGAATCTGTCAATGTGCCTGAGATGGAGCATTGTAACTATTTATATTGTTCAGACTGTTGTCCTCATCTTTATTGTCATATTCACGACGTTTCGACCGTTGTACGTTCCGGCCTTCTTCAGAATCTGTCAATGTGCCTGAGATGGAGCATTGTAACTATTTATATTGTTCAGACTGTTGTCCTCATCTTTATTGTCATATTCACGACGTTTCGACCGTTGTACGTTCCGGCCTTCTTCAGAATCTGTCAATGTGCCTGAGATGAGACATTGTCACTATTTATATTGTTCAGACTGTTGTCCTCATCTTTATTGTCATATTCACGACGTTTCAACCGTTGTACGTTCCGGCCTTCTTCAGAATCTGTCAATGTGCCTGAGATGAGACCTTGTCACTATTTACACTATTTATATTGTTCAGACTGTTGTCCTCATCTTTATTGTCATATTCACGATGTTTCGACCGTTGTACGTTCCGGCCTCCTTCAGAATCTGTCAATGTGCCTGAGATGAGACAATGTCACTGTTTATATTGTTCAGACTGTTGTCCTCATCTTTATTGTCATATTCACGACGTTTCTACCGTTGTATGCTCCGGCCTTCTTCAGAATCTGTCAATGTGCCAAAGATGAGACATTGTTACTATTTACACTATTTACATTGTTCAAACTGTTGTCCTCATCTTTATTGTTATATTCACAACGTTTCGACCGTTGTACGTTCAGGTCTTCTTCAGGATCTGTCTATATTTCTGAGTTGATGTCATGTAACTATTTACACTATTTACATTGTTAAAACGTTTGTCCTTAGCTTTATTGATAAATTCACAACATTTCGACCGTTCCGGTCTTCTTCAGGATCTGTCTATATTTCTGAGATGAGGTACTTTATCTATTTACACTATTTACATTTATGTATCCTCCGATAAATAAAAATAACCTATGAGCAGGAAATATATATAAAATAATTGTTAGACTTAGTCCATTTTATATTATATGGAAAGGACAAAGTCCGACAATCATTTTAAAACATTTTTATGTTTATACATTCTTTTCATAATGTGTGACGTCATTTGTTTACATTTGATACGCCATGAGCAGATATGAATGTACGTGACAAAATCATGGCAGATTGTAGTTTAAAGAGAGTAAAATCGACCTTGATAACCGAAACGCTCCTCTGTGGCCAAATTGGTTAAAGGCACGTCAGGCTATATGACGGTTCCATATAGGACACTGGTTCGATTCCTGTCGGAGGACGAATATTTTCTATGAAAATCTCTCGGACATTCAGACCGACAATGTTGTTTAATACTGTTTATTATAAACAGATCATTTACTTAAATATTTGTATCTATAAAAAGAATGTACAAACATAAAAATGTCTTAAAATAATTGTCGGACTTTGTCCATTTCATAATATATATATATATATATATATATATATATATATATTATATATTAGCACCTCGGCGTGGTGTAACGCTTAGTAAGTTTGTCTCGCTAAAGCAGTTACGACTATACCCCATACATCTAAGTTACACTTAGAAAATCAATATATATATATATGTATATATATATATATAGAGAGAGAGTTATCCATAGACAGACTGATTCGCAGCTCATCAGTGTGGTTGGACATCTGAGCGCTTTGGCCCGGACCGTTTTGGTGTTAGTTGGAGATTCTAACCCCCAGGCCATCGATGCCCGTCAGAGAGAAAAGTGAATTTTTGCGTATTTATTTTTTTATGAATATACCAGTTTCACGCAGAGAACTCAATCGCTATATATATATATATATATATATATATATATATATATATATATATATTTGTTTTTACAGAGAGAGAGAGAGAGAGGGAGAGAGAGAGAGGGAGAGAGAGAGAGAAGGAGAGGGAGAGAGAGAGAGAGAAAGAGAGAGAGAGAGAGAGAGAGAGGGAGAGAGAGAGGGAGAGAGAGGAGAGAGAGAGAGAGAGAGAGAGAGAGAGAGGAGAGAGAGAGAGAGAGAGAGAGAGGAGAGAGAGAGACATAGACATGTGCATCCATTTTATTTGTTGGTTGTTGGTAGTCCTCAAATGATGTGGTTTCTGTTATTTGAGTGGCTCTGTAGAGAGACCTCAGGCTTCACTCACACAAAGCCTTTTTTCACCATAATTATTTAAATAGCTGTTATCGCTCTTTCCAATATTGATAAGGAGTTTTTGTGTGCGTGTTTGTGTGCTTGTGGTGGTGGTGGGGTCTTTCCTAAACTTTTCTTTGAAATGGTTAACATTTTCATTATATTATTTTCTCTTCGAGTTACATGTACTATCCATTTTAGTTGTTGCTGCTGTTGGTAGTCCGCAAGTGATATCATTTCTGTTATTTGGTGCAGTTCTGTGTTTGTGATTATGTAGCGCCAGTCCACAATGTTCAAAGAAGGACGGACTTTACCAAGACCCTCAGGCTTTTCAATTGCTCAAAGGCATTTAAAACTATTAATCTGAGAAAGTGGATGCATGCAGACGACAGTTTAGATATTTCTGAACGGGTTTGGCGCCATGCGTGACAGCCATGTGAAAATCTCGATCTGACGAGACTATCTGAGAACATGACTCAAGGAGTCCGATTTAAACATGGCGACGTTTATTAAATAATACTCTAGGTGGTGTGATCTATTGAATACTTTCTTTGCAAAAATTCTGCTGGCATTAAATTCTAGTCATTTTTTAGCATTTGTTAGGGTGTTATTGAGTTATTATTATTATTATTATTATTTCTAAAAGCATTAATTGGAAAAAAAAAAAGCATTGTGGGATTTTCTTCGTTGAGTCTTTAACAATTTTATTCCTTGATATCCAGACAAGTTGTCCTTAAGCAATTTCTTAGTCTTTTTTAAAATTGAGGTTAGATACATTATTTTTTCTTTCGATTTCTTTTTTTTTACCTTTTACTTTTGTTTGTTTCTTTATTTAAATGGTTCTTCACCTTCCCCCACCCCCGCGTTTTTCTAATTGTTTTGTTTATTTTCTACCTCATGCCCGTTTCGTTTTTTTTCTAATTGTTTTTTTCTTTTAGTTTATTTTCTACCTCCTTTTCTTTGTTCTTTCTTTCTTTTCTTTCTTTCTTTCTTTCCTGCCTTCCTTCCTTTCTTTTAGTTTCTTTCTTTTTCTTTTCTTTCATTTTATTTCTTTCTTTCTTTTTTAGTTTCTTTCCTTCTTTTTCTTTCAAGAGAGATTCTTTTTTCTTTCATTTTAGTTTCTTTCTTTTTCTTTCTTTCTTTTTATTTCTTTCTTTTTCTTTTCTTTCTTTCTTTTCTTTCTTTCTTTCTTTCTTTCTTTCATTTTAGTTTCTTTCTTTTTCTTTCTTTCTTTTTTTATTTAGTTTCTTCTTTCTTTCTACTTTCTTTCTTTCTTTTCTTTCATTTCCTTTTTTTTCATTTTTTTTTTCTTTCACAATTTTCTTCTCCTTTTTCTTTCTTTCTTTTTTCTTTCTTTCTTTTTTCTTTCTTTTTTCTTTCTTTCTTTTTATTTGCTGTTTCCTCCTTTCCTTTCTTTAAAATTTTTCTTTCTTTCTTTTCTTTCATTCTTTCTTTTCTTTCTTTCATTTAGTTTTTTTTTCTTTTCTTTCTTTTTATTTACTTTCTTCTCCTTTCCTTTGTTTCATTTCTTTTTCTTTCTTTTCTGTGCTTTCTTTCCTTTCTTTCTTTCTTTCTTTTCTTTCTTTCATTTTAGTTTCTTCCTTTTTTCTTTCTTTCTTTTTTATTTACTTTTTTCTTTTTTTTTTCTTTTGTTTTCTTTTTCTTTCTTTTTTCTTTCATTATATTTTTTCCTCTTTCAGAGTTCCTTTCTTTCTTTCTTTCTTTCTTTCTTTTCTTTCTTTCTTTCTTTCTTTCTTTCTTTTTCTTTCTTTCATTTTAGTTCTTTTCATTTCTTCTCTTTCCATTTTAGTTTCTTTTCTTTCTTCTTTTTCTTTCTTTCTTTCTTTTTCTTTCTTTCTTTTTCCATCTTTCTTTCTTTTTGTTTTTCATTCTTCTTTGTTTTCTTTCTTTCGTTTTTCTTTCTCATTTCATTTATTTTCTTTTTTCTTTTCTTTCTTTCTTTTTCCCCCGTCACTCTTTCTTATTTAGTTTCTTTCTTTCTTTCTTTCTTTCAAAGAAGGACGGACTTTCTTTTCTTTTTCTTTCTTTCTTTCTTTCTTTCTTTCTTTTTTCTTTCTTTCAGGCTTTCTTTCTTTTTTCTTTCTTTTAGTTTCTTTTTTCTTTCCCTTTCTTTTATTTACTTTGTTTCTTCTCCTTTCCTTTCATTTCTTTTCTTTCTTTTTCTTTCTTTCTTTCTTTTTTTTTCTTTCTTTCTCTTTCTTCATCTTTTTTTTTTTTTTCTTTTTGCTTTGTTTTCCATTCTTTCTTTTGTTTTCAGTTTTCTTTCTTTTCTTTCTTTTTTTTCTTTTTTCTTCAGGTTTCTTTTATTCATTTTTCTATGTTTTTTCTCTATTTGCTATATTTTTTTTTTTTTCTTTCCCCGTGTGAAAATCCCTCTTTCTGACATTTTCTCTGTTTTCCTCGAGATTTTGTTTGTTTCTTTCTTTCATGACTCTTTTCTTTCCGATTTTCTTTTTCTTTCGTTTTTTAAATAACATATCTCCTATCTTCCTCTTTTTGTTCTTTTTATTCCCTCTTCAAGTTCTTTTTTCTTTCTTTCTTTTCTTTCTTTCATTAAATTCTTTCATTTTTCTTTCTTTTGTTTTTCTCCTGATCACCCTCTTTTTGTTCTTTTTTATTTTCGATTTCTTTCTTTTTCTTTCTTTCTTTCTTTCTTTCTTTCTTTCTTATTTTCTTTCTTTCTTTTTTTCTTTTTTCTTTCTTTCTTTCTTTAACATATCTTTCTTTCTTTTTTGTTCTTTCTTCAAAAAAGTTCTTCCTTTTTGTTCTTTTGTTCCTCTTCAACGCTTTCCTTTCTTTCTTTCCATTTCTTTCTTTCTTTCTTTCATTAACATTTCCTTTTCTCTTTTGTTTTTAACAATTTTTTTCTTTCTTTCTTTCTTTTCTTTCTTTCATATTTTTTTTTTTTTTCTTTCATTTTAGTTTCTTTCTTTTTCTTTCTTTTCTTTTATTTAGTTTCCTTTCTTTCTTTTCATTTCTTTTCTTTCTTTCTTTCTTTAATTTTTTTCTTTCTTTCTCCATTTTTTTTCTAATTTTTCCATTAGATTTGTTTTTCATTCATTTTTTTTTTTTTCTTTCCTTTTCTTCATTTCTTTTTTTTTTTCGGTTTCTTCCTTTTACTTTTGTTTCTTTCTTTATTTAAATTTTCTTTTTTCCCACCTATATTTTTTTTGCTAATTTTTTTTTTCTTTTTGCTCCCCCTGTCTTTTTCTTCCTTTTCTTTCTTTTCTTTCTTTCTTTCTTTTTTTTCTTTCTTTTTTTTAACATTTCTTTCTTTTTTTGTTCTTTTTATTCCTTTCTTTCTTTCCTTTCTTTCTTTCTTTCCTTTCTTTCTTTTTTCTTTCTTTCTTTCTTTTCTTTCTTCTTTCTTTTTCTTTTCTTTTTCTTTTCTTTCTTTTTTTTCTTTCTTTTTTAGTTTCTTTCTTTTTCTTTCTTTCTTTTTTCTTTCTTTCCTTTCTTTTCTTTCATTTTCTTTTCTTTCTTTCTTTCTTTCTTTTTCATTTTTTCTTTTTTCTTTCTTTTTTCTTTCTTTTTTCTTTTCTTTCTCTTTTGTTTTTCATTCATTCTTTGTTTTTCTTTCTTTCGTTTTTCTTTCTTCATCTTTTTTTTTTTTTTTTTCTTCGGTTTCAGCTGTTTAATATTTCTTTCTTTCCAGTCCTGCCTTTCTTTATCCATTTTTCTATGTTTTCTCCATTTGCGCCTATATTTTGGTTGCTTTGTTTTCTTTCTTTCTTTCTTTCTTGCTCCCCGTCACTCTATCTGCTTACTTGCTAGCCTTCCCTTTTCTTTCTTTCTTTTTTTCTTTCACTTTTTTTGTTTGTTTCTTTCTTTGTTTTGTTTCTTTTTTCTTTTCTTTGTATCGCACTCCTCTTTCTTCTTCTTTTTTTCTTTCTTTCTTTCTTTCTTTCTTTCTTTCTTTCTTTTAACATTTTCTTCCTCTTTTTGTTCTTTTTATTCCCTTTTTCCTTTCTTTCTTTTTTTCTTTCTTTCTTTCTTTCTTTCTTTTTTCTTTCTTTCTTTCTTCTTCCTTTTTTTCTTTTTATTCCTCTTCAGAGTTCGTTTCTTTCTTTTTTTTCTTTCTTTCTTTCTTTCTTTCTTTTCTTTCTTTTCTTTCTTTCTTTTTTTCTCTTTCTTTCTTTCTTTTTCTTTCTTTCTTTGTTCTTTCTTTCCCTTTTCAGATCTTCCCTCTTTTCTTTCTTTTCTTTCTTTTCTTTCTTTCTTTCTTTCTTTCTTTTTTCTTTCTTTCTTTTCTTTCTTTTTTCTTTCTTTCTTTTTCTTTTTTCTTTCTTTCTTTTTTTCTTTCTTTCTTTCATTCTTTTCTCCTTCTTCCTTTTTTTGTTCTTTTTTATTTTTCAGAGTTTTCTTTCTTTCTTTCTTTTTCTTTTTTTTCTTTCTTTCTTTCTTTCTTTCTTTTCTTTCTTTTTTCTTTCTTTCTTTCTTTTCTTTCTTTCTCATTAACATATCTCCTGATCTTCCTTTTTTCTTTTTTTATTCCCTCTTCAGAGTTTTTCTTTCTTTCTTTCTTTCTTTTTTCTTTTCTTTCTTTCTTTCTTTCTTTCTTTCTCATCTCTTTCTTTCTTTTTTCTTTTTATTCCTTTTCAGGTTCGCTTTCTTTCTTTCTTTCTTTCTTTCTTTCTTTTCTTTCTTTCTTTCTTTTTCTTTCTTTCTTTTTTTCCTTTTTTTTCTTTTTTTTCTTTTCTTTCTTTTTTTTTTTCTTTTTTTTCTTTCTCATCTTTTTCTTCCTCTTTTTGTTCTTTTTTATTCCTCTTCAGAGTTTTTCTTTCTTTCTTTCTTTCTTTCTTTTTTTCTTTTCTTAACATCTCCTGTTTTCCATCTTTCTTTTTCTTTTTTCTTTCTTTCTTTTTTCTTTCTTTTCTTTTTTCATTCATTTCTTTCTTTTTTTTCGTTTTTTTTCCTTTTCTTTCTTCTTTTTTTTTCCTTTTTTCTTCGGTTTCAGCTGTTTTCTTTCTTTCTTTATTTCTTTCTTTTCCAGTTTCTTTTGTTTTTCCTTTGCCTTTCTTTATCCATTTTTCTTTGTTTTCTCCATTTTCTTTCCTATATTTTGCTTTTTTTCTTTTGCGCCTATTTTTTCTTTCTTTCTTTTCTCACCGTCACTTATCTATCTGCTTACTTGCTCGCCTTTTTCTCCCTCAGATTTCTTTTTTTTCTTTTTTTTTTTTTTCCTGTAATCACTTTTTCTCTTTTTTTCCTTCTTTCTTTTGTTTCTTTCTTTTTTTCTTTTTTGTTACTTTGTTTTTTTCCTTTCTTTCTTTCTTTCTTTTTCTTTCTCATCGCTCCCTGATCTTCCTCTTTTTTCTTTTTATTCCTCTTCAGAGTTCGCTTTCGTTCTTTTTCTTTCTTTCTTTCTTTTCTTTCTTTCTTTCTTTCTTTTCTTTCTTTTTTTTTTTCTTTCTTTCTCTTTCATATTAACATATCTTCCTTTTTCTTCCTTTTTTTTCTTTCTTTTTTTTTCTTTCTTTCTTTCTTCAGAGCTTTCTTCTTCATTCTTTCTTTCTTTCTTTTTTCTTTCTTTCTTTTTTTTTTCTTTCTTTCTTTCTTTCTTTTTTCTTCTTTTTATTCCCTCTTCAGGTTTGCTTTCTTTCTTTTCTTTCTTTCTTTTTTCCAGATTAACTTCTGATCTCTTCCTCTTTTTTTCTTTTTTTTCTTTCAGAGCTTTCTTTTTTCTTTCTTTTTTTCTTTCTACGTTTTCTTTCTTTTTTCTTTCTTTCTTTCTTTTTTTTCTTTTGTTTCTTTCCTTTTCTTTTTTTCTTTTTTTTATTTCTTTTCTTTCTTTCTTTTTTTTCTTTCTTTCTTTCATTCTTTTTCTCAACATATCTCCTGATCTTCCTCTTTTTTTCTTTTTTTTCTTTTTTTTCTTTCTTTCTTTCCCTTTCTTTTCTTCTGAGTTCGCTTTTTTCTTTTTTTTCTTTCTTTCTTTTTTTTTTTTTTCTTTCTTTTGTTTTATTTCTTTCTTTCCCTTTCTTTCTTTTTCTTTCTTTTTCTTTTCTTTCTTATTAACATATCTCCTGATCTTCCTCTTTTTGTTTTTTTTTCATTCATTCTTTGTTTTTCTTTCTTTCGTTTTTCTTTCTTCATCTTTTTTTTTCCTTTTTCTTCTTTTAATATTTCTTTTTTTCTTTTTTTCCTTTCTTTAACATATTCCAGTTCGCTTTTTTTGTTCTTTTTCTTTCTTTCCTTTCTCTTTCTTTCTTTCTTTTCTTTCTTTTTTCTTTCTTTCTTTTTGTTTCTTTCTTTCTTTTTTTTTTCCTTCTACTTTGTTTATTTTTCTTCCTTTTGTTTTTTTATTCTTTTTTCCTTTTCTTTCTTTCTTTTTTTCTTTTTTTTAATTACTCTTTTCCTCTTTTTGTTCTTTTTTTTTTATTCTTTTCAGAGTTCGATTTCCATTTTTCTTTCTTTCTTTCTTTTTTTTTCTTCTTTCTTTTCTTTCTTTCACCTATATTTTTCCTTTTTTTTTTTTATTTGTTGTTTCCTTTTTCTATATTTTTTCTTTCTTTCTTTTCTTTCCGTTTTTTTTTATATTTTCCTTTCCTTTTTTATTTCTTCTTTTTTCTTTCTTTCTTTCTTTCTTTTTCTTTTTTCTTTCTTTCTTTCTTTCTTTCTTTCTTTCTTTCTTTCTTTCGTTTCCATCT